TAGGATGGGATGGATTGGACTGATCTCGCTCAGGATAGGGAGCAGTGGATGGCTCCTGTAAACACGGTAATGAACCTTCAGATTCCATAAAATGCTGGGAAATTCTTGAGTAGCTACAGAATTGGTGGCTCCTCCAGAAGGGCTCAGCTCCATAAGTAAGCAAGCAAGTAATGCAAGATTTCAGGATGGCCAAGAAAATCTCAAAGATGAGAAATGCAGTGGACGACCAATAGCTGTTTGAACACCTCAATGATCGAAGCAGTCAGGGAATTGATTTCAACTGATCATTGAAGGACTCTTAGGATGATGAAAGAACTCAAAATCAGCAGAGAAACTAATTGCCAAAGCTTGGTGGAGCATCTCAGGAAATGGAAGATTATGCTAGATTTGTTTTGCACTGCTTGACTGATAATAAGTAGGCTATCAGACTGCAAGCTTGTCAACAGTTATTCAATCTGTGGATGATGATCCTTCCTTGCTTGATTCAACTGTAAAGGTGATGAAACCTGGTGTTTTCAGTATGATCCCCAAACAAAAAGGCAAAGCACAGAATGGCCCTCACCAAGCTCTCCAAGACACAACAACTTTTTATTTAAAAAGTAAAAAAACAAAATGATGTTGGTCACATTCTTTTGACAGTCAGGGAACCATTCTTAAAAAGTATGTTCCACCAGGTCAGAAGGTGAATACGGAATATTATGTTGAAGTATTGTCTTGTCTGATTCAAAGAATTTGTTGAGTAAGACCTAGTTTTAGGAAAGAGGAAGCTGGTCTCTCTTGCAGGACAATGCAAGACCTCACACTGCAGTATCAATAAAGCACTTTTTCCAAAACAAGGGATTCCAGAATTAAATCACTCCCCATATTCTCCCGATTTATCCCAGCCAGACTTCTTCTTATTCCCCAAAATCAAATTCCCACTGAAAGGGAGAAGATTTGAAGACATGGAAAATATTATCCCTTCACCACCAGCAGGCATTTAAATTCCTACTCAACTCCAATGCTGGAGGATATTTAAATATTTAAATTGGAGGGTGCAACATTTAACTTAAAGCATAAGAAATAGGGAAAAACTGGCATTCTGTTTTTCAGATTTTCACACAACGTTAAGAAAAGTATTTAGAATTGGAGTATTGATGCACACTACTTTAAAATTATTTTTGACACAGTAAGCTTATAAAAATTATGAACAATAGTATCATATTGCCTTAGAAGTTCAGCTGGGTGTGTTGCTTAGTGGGGGGTGGAGTCCAACTGGGTCCACTCGGCATGTCGGCCACTGATTGGCCTATTGTACCTACCCTGGGTGATTATGATGGAGAATTTGGTGGAATGAAGATTGGCAGGAGAAACCGAAGTACTTGGAGAAAACCTGCCCCAGTGCCACTTTGTCCACCACAAATCCAACATGACCAGAGCTGGGCTTGAACCCGGGCCACCACGGTAGAAAGCAAGTGACTAACCGCTTGAGCTATGGCAGAGCCAGCTGGGTGTTAGTTAGTTAGTTATTGGAGAGGGTGTGTTTCGCCATGCACTTAGACCTGTATTGGTCCATTGTGCTTCCCTCTATGATTTCTACCAGTCTCTATATCCTACCGGTACTGGTGCTTACCATCAGTCCTGCCCAGCCACCGAGACCGGCTCTACTAGCTGAGAGGTATCTATAATGCCTCCCCCATCTACCAGAGGTATTAGAGACTGCTGTTGGGCGGGAAACGTCCGTAAATTTGGCTCAGTGACCTCCTTTGGAGATATGAGGGTCTTTTACATGCTGTAAAGCTACGACACGGGACCCATGGCTTAAAGTCCCTCCCGGAGGACTTGTTCCCTGAATTTTTCCGCCCTTAAAAATTCAACAACCTCCGCCGGGTATTTGAACCCACGTACTACGAGTCATGAGGTGGGAACATTACCTCTAGACTACGGAGGCCGCTAGCTGGGTGTGTTAGTCATGCAAACATTCCAGACAGGGTCCCACGTCACATGTGTCACACCAGTACAGTTTTTGACACACAACACGCTGTTTCTGTGGTTTTGATTTCTTTGCAGTTGGTGCAATCTTGCTTATAAAATTTCTTTCTGAGATGGGGCACTGTTTTGTCTGATGAATGTCGACCCGGTACTTTGTGTCCTACAGAATTAGCATATTTCACAGAGAGTCCCCTCAATTAACTGAAATCTGATTGACAACTGATCTATTCCTACATATTATCATTGCATTTAGAAATTTTCTTTTTGTCCCTTATAGTTTTGCAAGGGGCATGTGACAGCATAATTGGTTGAGGCGGTATGTTAAAATCTGGAACTGCATGGGTTCAAGTCCTGATGAGGTCATTGCATCTTTTTTTTAAATTGACCCAATCCTTCCAGCTGCACTATGGCCTTGGAGTCAACTCAGTCTCTAACAGAAATGAGTACCAGTAACATTCTTGGGAGTAAAGGGCGGCTGGCACATAAGGCTGACAACTTTGTCGCCATCTATGAGCTGACTGTCTAGAAAATGTAAGAACCTCAACATCTCTCAACCCTATGGGCCTCCACGGCCTGTTACAGGGACTCCTTTACTTACTTTACTTTAGTTCTGTATGTTCTCCCAATGGATGTTTGTACTTTTCTCGATTCTGTCATTTACCACAGAATCGAGAAAAGCACAAACATCCATTTTTAGTGTCTAATTCCGAATCGGATAAAACTTTGTTCTGATTCAGTTTGAAGTAGATATATTCTGCACTGGGTCTTGACACAACGAAGCTGTCCACTTTGTTTGTTCCTTCTGACTGGCCTTGGCTAAAAAGACTGCATGATGCGTATTTATAGAACGAAGGGGAATTACAGTGGTGTCATTCATATAGTGAACTGTTTATCGTTTGCTTCATAGCAGTCATAACACCCTTCTTAGAGTCAACATCACGTCTCAAAGTCGTAGATTCTCCACCTGTCTTCTTGTCGTTACAAAAACCAGTTTAAAGGAGCACTGATCAGCATATGCCTTAAGACAATCAACTTTTCTTTCAGTCAGCATGCAGGAGAGCACACGGTATCGGTCTAACATACTTAGTTCATAAGAATTCCCCTAGGCACAGGTAGGTTTGTATGGTAACAAGAGAACCAAGTGTTGAAATAGAAAACCTTTTTAAAGAATTCAAATGTATGACAACTCCCGCAGGAAGTTCAAAGTGGGAAAATGAATATACAAAATGACAGCCAGAAACTTCCTCTTTAATTTCATACCAAAATAATTATTTTACACGAAGAACAGCAGTACAAAATAAGAGCTGAAACATAGCACTGCACTATGCATGCAGGGTACGGACCTCGGCGCTGAGGGGTTAAAAGAAATGTAATGGAGGAACTATTAGAATTACATGCAAGTGAGTTCAGAAAGTGTTTCCAACAATTTTATGAAACAGCACAAGTGTGTGACATCTCAAGGAGATTATTTTGATGAATATTGAAAGAGATTGTCACAATTTATGGCTGTGACTACTAAGATGGGGTTTGGACTGGATGACTGGATTTATTAACATCTTCTTGTACAATCACTCATAATCACAATCAATTATAGTAACTCACAATAATGACTGCCTAGGACTTGCTCCATTCTGATGTGATGTGATGTGATCTGATCTCTCTCTATTCTGTCTTCTACTCATCTGAACTCAGTTCTGTTCTTCTCTCATATCGCGCATCTGTACCCATGGAAATGCCTGCTGATAACCTGTACCCCATATCCAAGGAACTGTCTATTACACAGCAAAGGTCTGGTTTCCAAGAATTCATCACCAGGGAAACATGTTCATTACTCAGCGATGTGTTGGTTTCCAAGAATCTGTCTCCATGGAAACGTGTTTTGCCAACTCATACCCTAGCAATGTGTCTACATGTCACAATATGTTCAATTTTAAATGTAGTGTTCTTAAAATTTATGCAGTCCTGGAACTTAATTGTCTAACCTTGTACATCTACAAATGCAAGATATATACAATAGTATTACATGAGAGTGCATTCCACAACATGGAAATGAAAGTGTGTACGACATGGTAACAGCCCAACCTCCCGCACACATGCACACACAGACCACCTCTTCCTCCTCCTCCTCCTCCTCCTCATCATCATCATCATCTCAAAACATCTGATTTCATTCAAAATTGTTACCAGCATGATCTCACCAGAAAACTATATACTGTTCTTTCATATATATTAATGCTTTTTAATAAGTTGCAAAAGCATAAGTATTTCATCTAAATTATTCTGTCTTGCTCATGACAAATGGAAATACTTACTTTGAATAAATAGCATGCATGAAATCTATAAAACAAATAATGAGAGAGAAATTAAAAAATTGTGATGCAGAAAGGTAATTAAAGAATACATTATGCTGTCAACTGTCTACTTGACCTACATCTCAGTGAAAACTTTTCCAACATTTTTATCAAATATATTTTAACATGGATTACTTGTAATCACCAAGTATAATTATAATGCCATCCTTGTGGCCAACGAGGGAACTTCTAAAGTACCACTGTAACATTTAAATGCAGGACTAAAAGAAATTTCTGTTGCAGGTCACATCTGTACATGCACATATGCAGTGCTGTGAAACCAGTCCGTATCACCAAGATTCTTCTTTTCTATAATATATAGCCTTGTAAGATACACATTCTATGCTGACATCTGATAAAGAAATTTCTGATCAGTATTGATATGTACTGTATTTATAGAATTCTGCCTTAGTGTAGTAACAATCTGCTGGTAATAGTCATTGCCTACAAAACTGTTTCATGAAGCACACAAAAAAATAGCATTCCTCCAGTTACATTCATTGAAAACTTACAATAATGCTGTATTTGAAAAATGTATGATGGAGAAAGGAGATTATATAGATAAGCATCAGCTCAATGTGTTCAGACATGCAAGAGACAAATGTTTCACATTCACAATTTCACACAGTTTTCTTCTGATCCCCCTCTAAAATAAGATATGACCCTTTAACTTCTTACCCAAATTTTCTCGTCTCTGGATTCATCATGGCAAGCTGCATCCTACGCCTTGTTACATCTAATGGGTATGATACGCTCTGTGCCACTGCACCAGCCAGACCTCCACAAAGCAACTTTGCAGGCATCATAAGAACTAGTCCACCTACAATTACAACAAAAGAATAAAGCAAATGCAGCATCCCTCACCAGCTCAAGATTTCAAGCATTCACAGTTTTCAATTTGTATCCAGTTTTGCCAACTATAGTATCTGTATGTATCTGCCATTTTTATCTGTATCTATATTTGGAAAAAGCAGGGAGGGCTGTATTGCCATTCAAAACCTGTTTTGTAACTTCCAGATTACTTACAGTGCAGATTTTTGAGATCATATGTATTTTATGTCTAATTTATTTTTAAAATTATTATAATTAATTCTATTTTTTGCTTATAAAAACTGACAACTCATTTGTGTTTTGATTAGTGTTAACATCAGTCACGTTTCCCTAAACCAAAATTTCCTGTAAGGTCTCAGTTTTGCCAACAATGTTGTTATTTTTTACAAAGTAACCCTTGGGGTTGGTGAGGGGCTGTTGTATACCACAGGTAGAGAAAATAGAGAATAAAATCCTCAGACAGAAAATATAATATGAGAGCTTTGAGGTTTTGATAGCAGCGAGTATCAAGATTATGATCTTTCTGGAGGGGATGCTGTTGTAGTTTGGTAGTGGGTACCAATGTTTCAAAACAAACTGCTGCTTCCATCTTCATGGTATCCTGAAGAAGGTTCCAAGCTATACAGTGTCACATCCAAGAACATTATAATCTTGACATAATAAAATATAATAATTTTTGATGATACTGGTTTCCAGTTTCTGAAGGCTATTGCTCTAATAATGGCTGGGTCTCCAAGCCGTTCTATGAGTCACTTGTAGCAACAGCAATTTAACCTGCCAAATCATTCCAACAGGTCACTGTCAATTTTTCACTTCATTTCAGTTTTTTTAAGTTTAGTTTCAAACCAGCAATCACATTCTGTGAAGAATTAATCAAGGTTTATCTAAGTTGATTTCACCCTGTTACTATCTAGACTAGTTGGGAACTGAGTACAGGTTGCTTGCATTACAGTTTTGTATTCACTTGTAAAGAAATATTTATCTCTTATCATTTTATACTACAACTGTTTTAATTTACACCTTACTTGGTTAATTTAGATATGTATACATTTTTCTAGCTGATGTAAATGTTTGATAACTTCCCCAGTCTGGACCATTTTTAAATAATACATTTATACCACAAGTTATATCTCAAACCAGTCTTTCACATTTTCATAATCTGGTACACAGTTAATGTTTACCTGATATAATTATCTAGGATATGAGCAGTGACTCCATATTATAGACTGGACTTATCAATATCTGGGAGCCAAAATAGCTCAGTTGGATTAGCAACTAGAGGATGAGAGGAGGAATCAGGATTTGATTACTGGCAGGGGCAAAAGACATTTTTCTCCACATAATCCAGATCACCTCTGGGTCCACCCAGTCTATGCTAGCTTTCGCTGGGGTAAAGCAGCTGGAGCTTATGAAAACTCACCTCCATCTAGCGTTACAGTTAAGAATGTTTGGAGCTATATCTCCACTCCCCTACCTGCCTTCATTGTGTGGTGCTTATTAAGCACTGGGACAAACTTACCTGTCACTCTCTACTTCTAATTTCCTGAATGATGAAGTCAAAGTGGATAGTACATTTCCACTACTACATAACCATATAAATTTACTTTGTTGTGCCCATGGAGTAGGAAGCCAGTTGCCATGCAGGGCTTTCCCTGCTCAAATCATCCATAAACAAGAAATGAGAATTTTGCATAATTACGACAAACATAGGGGGAACACGGTAGTGTAGTTGGTTGAGGCAGTATGCTACAAGCCGCAAGGTCGCAGGTTCAAGTCCTGATGAGGTCACTGGATTTTTTCAATTAATCTAATCCTTCCAGCCGCACTATGACCCTGGGGTCGACTCAGCCTCTAACAGAAATGAGTACCAGGAATTAATTAAATAATTTTCCTGGGGAGTAAAGCAAGGCCAGCGCGTAAGGCTGACAACCTTACCGCCATCTTTGAGCCGACTGTCTAGATAATGTGGGACCCTCAACGTCTCACAACCCCATGGGCCTTCAACACCTGGTACAGGGATAGCTTTACTTTTTTTTTTATTTTATTTTACTTTTTAAGACAAATATATCTCTACCATCATGAATAATCAATTATTTCATTCCTCACATTCATTCATTTATTAAAGTACCTTAACTGGCTGTACAGTACCTGTATTTCGTGAACAACTATCACAGGTCACTTGAGGCATGTACTTCATACATATATATTTCAGCATCTCAAAGCAGTAGAATGAAAAACCAGCATATGGAATCATTCCACATACTGTTGGCACAAAACCACGGTACAGAGCTCGAAGCCCTCCTTCCTTTAAATGAACAAAAAGAACAACACATTGTACAGAAGAATTTGGTATGCAGGAATGAGATCTGCACAACAGACCAGGGATTTGTTTCATCAGATATGCAGATACTAGAAAATGTTCTTGGACTGGAGCACATCCTAAACTCTGCAGTCCTAAGCCCTTAGATGCAGTTGCATTCTAAATACCGTGTTTCAGAAGCTACAGTTCCATCTGTCATACAGTTGTTGAAAACTCTTCTAGAAACCACCACGATTGCTGCATTCTCAAAGTGACAGCCACTTAGCAAGCGCATCATCTACAGAATGAGGTAAAAATTGCATTAGGGTGTGGTAGATGGGTAAGTACCACAGTATCATGCTCAATGAGCAAAGGCAGTGAGTAACCAATACACCGAAGCACTATTATGCCATAGCATCCAACCTCCTGCTGCCTATATTTTGGACTGTTTCAGATGAACAGCCTCACTTGTAACAATCTCTGAGAAAAAGTTGGACTGTTATCTTCTGCAACAACAACTTAATTATTACTCCTCATGCAGTCATTCCAATTTTCTAGCATCAGCAATCTTTATATGAAGTGCTGGCTGACATGATGCACCTTCACATCCTTAATGAAAATGAAATGGTAACAATCAACTAATATTCTGTGTAAGATTTGAGGCTTTCACGGCGGTGACTATGAAGAAAGCAGTCTTCTGGGATTTGGCACCGTGTATATGTGGTGTTAACCGACGTTTCGGAGGAACGTATCGCCCCCATCTTCAGGGTAGAAGAAAAAGTATANAACACCACATATACACGGTGCCAAATCCCAGAAGACTGCTTTCTTCAACTAATATTCTGGTTTCTTCTGTAACTTCCTCTGCCATCTGCACTTCTCTCACACTGTCTTGGTTCCATGATATTGCAGGCATTCCATCTTCGAACAATTCATGACTATCACTGAACCTGTGATGCTATACAGGACATCATTTGTTTTAAATACAATGATCAAAACATCTGCAGTGTTTCCATCATGGGATATCATAACTGCTAATGAAATATGTTATCTGGCATTTGAGGCAATTATTTTTTTTCTCATTCCTGAGTGTAGAAAAGTTGCGCAAGCCTCGATATTTGTAAGTAGGCTCCAGCCTGCCAGTATCACTAAATTTGCTTGTTATGGAAACTTTTAAGGTTATCATGTGTACATACTGTACAAAGTGACCTTATTAAGTATGGAGATTTTTTCATGCTCTTTATATCAGTTTCTATCAACTATGATGTAACTCTTAGGTTGCAGACACTTAACAGAAAGCTCAACTACACTGAGCAAAAAGTGAAATTTTGTCAACTGATCACACCTTCTCAATAAAGCTTACAGCATTACCATTAAGATAATCTCTTTGATATCAGTGCACAAAGAAAGATATAATTAACAAGGGAAAAGTATAAGATGCAGTAACAGAATTAAATAAAAATTTAAACCTAATAAGCATACCTCCTTGAATATACTTAATGCTGTCTGGACTATTCCACTGTACACATGTTCTCCTGTTACTTGAAATGCCAAACGAGCCCGGATGGTGTCTAGAGGATATGTAAGTGTTACAGCAGTGACTCCAGCACCTGAACCTGCTAAAAACTTGCCTATGTGCGAGTTGCTGCCCAACAGTGAAGTCAGCATCTAAACATACAAAAGCATGAAACAAGAAATTACAATATTCTTATTCAGTCTGAAACAACACAGCTAACATCTATATTACAGATTCTCTTCTTATGAACTACAAAACTGCTGTGTAGTAAATCTCAGCTGGACTTCTTTCGGCACTGCCGCAGTCCACTGACATTGGGCACAACAATGTCCTTCCTCGGATGATGATGCCGATGATTCCTCTGACTGGGGTACTGTCCTTACCTCTTCTCCCTGCACTTTCCTCACAGCTGTCATAGTGACAGGCTGGGAAGGTAGAAGGATGGATGGGTGCCAGTAAACACCAGTCTAGTGGCAATGAATTTGTACAGTTTTTTGAGTTAGGTCAGACAGGATGGCCACTAGCTTTAGCTGGGATCACAGCTGATCTCTAGGTCCTAATGGGCCTGGCTTAACAGGATAAAAAGAACTTGGTTGCACATGCAAACACCATGATCACACAGATGTACCTCAGAGAGAGAATTTATTATGTAACACATGTATACTGGCACTGATAGTTACACTTTTGTTTACAGGAATCCACTTTAATAATGTGATGTACTTCCATTAAGTCATAATGACTAAATAAATTGTTGTGGTTCACAATGATCAGTAATAAGTAATGCAATGAATAGTTATGTGGTTGTTGCCTTAGTAATTCTGAAGGGTGCAGATTCTGCATCCCACCACTTGAAAAGACTGGGAATGGACTCTGTGTAGAAGTGGCTAGTTTTGAGACAGTAGACACCTCTGGACCTCCAGCTTCAATCACAAATTGCCCTCCTTGAGATCCTCCATTGGCTAATTCCCAAAACAAGGAGGTTTCAACATTTTTACATTTCCCAATCAGCTGCCTTTCTCAGAGTCACGCAGTGACAGGAGCAAGACACAACAAAGAGCACGATACACACATGCATGTAGGAAGAGTGCTCCGACAGAGGAGGACTGGCGTGATTTGTGTGTTGAGATACGATGTAAGGATGATGAATCCTGAAAAGTTTTAATATTTAAAATCTATTATTATATATGACGAATATATATTTTAGTCATTTTAATATGAAGACATCAGGGCATGCAATGCAGTAGTTAGACGTGCATAGAGAAAACACAACTGAAGATGGCACATTAGTGCTGAAACATGTAATGCAAAAGAGAAGAGTAAGGTGAAAAAGTGTATGCACTGTAAGACGGTTAGCATAAATCACGGACATTAGTCAGTGCAACAGGACGCTAAAATATAACATTTCTCAGAGAAATGTCAACCATAAGCCCTCAATGGCACGACAGACATGCCTTTGATGGATGATTCTGAAAGCATCAGTTCAAGAAACTCCTGCTCCAGAACTAATGACTGCACAAACCTGTCAAATCTCAGGTTCTCAAAGAAAAGCCATGGTCTTGAAACTTCACACAATTCTAAGAAAGATGACCAATGCTTCCGCCCTTCCCAGTGAGAACTGGCCTAAGCCACTCACAAGTATGCAAGAATGGGATCCTCCCTCTTCTGGATTCCCAACATGTGCAAACAAATGTTAATCATTTTAATTAATATTACTTACAACAACAGCTGGCTGTGCTTGGCAATTACAACTGTTTTTACAAGAAAACTGCTACATTCATATGATGCATAATTCAGGTAAAAACAGTCCACTACTTCCTTCCATATTACAGGTTACACTTACTTTTTCAAAATTGCAACTTGTTCCTGACAGTTTCTGCCTTATCATCAATTATTTTCTAAGTGCTATACCGACCTCTTTCCAAGACTGTGTGTATTAATGTTGTAATAAAACTGGAATTTACCTGGCTATGCAGATGTGGGAATGGTTTTCTCATGCAACATTCAGTATACAAGAAATGGTATGACAAAATTCTGAACTTATTTAATAAATGTTTAAATGCAAGTTTACTTTTCAGTCGATGGGCTGAAAACTGACAAGTGGATCATTACCAGGTTAAAATCTGAAAGTACACTAACTCATTTTATGAACATTCAATTAACTAATTACAAAAGTAAGTTTTAAAATTAATACAATAAGAGTTGTGGGGAGTATGCAGTAGCATAGTGGTTGATGGGCTATGCTACAAGCCGGAAGGTCGCAGGTTCAAGTCCTGATGAGGTCATTGTTTTTTTTCAGTTGACCTAATCCTTCCAGCCGCACTAGGCCCTGGGGTTTATTCAGCCTCTAACAGAAATGAGTACCAGGAATTAATTAAATAATTTTCCTGGGGAGTAAAGCATGGCCGGCGGGTAAGGATGACAACCTTACCGCCATCTTTCAGCCAATTGTCTAGATAATGTGGGACCCTCAACGTCTCACAACCCTATGGGCCTGCACGGCCTGGTACAAGGATAGCTTTACTTTTACTTTTTTTACTTATAACAAGAGTTGTTATTACAGTAGAAAAACTAAATTATGCATATGTTTTCACCCCTGTTCACCTTTCCCACAGCCTGTTGCTGTTTCTGTACTACTTTTGGTGGCTTATTTTACACTGTTCAATGTCTCAGACTATACAGTATCAAATGGTAGGATGACTGAAGAAGATATGAGCTGGACAGGATTTTGAAGGATGCAGTCATGCCTAATCAAGGTCCAGTATTCTGGCGGATCTGAGCCAAGCACCTCCTGAATACAAGTCTAGAGTATTACCACTACATCAGCCTACTCTGTCATACAGCACTCACAACCTCAGACATGCATGGGAGTTTTCTCTCTCTCACTCACTCACTCACTCATGGAACTGAGCCCTTCTTGAGATGCTGCCAATTGTGCAGCTACTCACAAACTTCCCAGCACTTTATGGAATCTGAAGGTTCGTTACCATGTTCACAGGAGCCCTACACTGGTCCTTATCCTGGGCCAGATCAATCCAATCCATTCCATCCTATCTCTCTAAGATCTATTTTAATATTGTCCACCCACCTACACCTTGGTCTTTCCAGTGGTCTCTTTCCAGCTGGCTTTCCTACCAATTCCCTTTATGCATTCCTCTTCTCCCCTGCTCGTGCTACATGCCCTGCCCACTTCATCCTCCTTGACTTGAGCATTCTAACTGTATTTGGAGATGAGTACAAGTTATGGAGCTCCTCATTATGCAGTTTCTCCAACCCCGTGATATTCTACCAGTCTCTATACCCTACTGGTACTGGTGCGTCCCATCAGCCCCGACTCAGCCAGCGAGTTCGGTCTCTACTGGCTCAGCGGTATCTTGATGCTTCCCCCATCTACCGGAGGTGTTAGAGACTACTGTTGGGTGGGAAATGTCCTGAATTTGGCTCAGAGGTCCCCTTGAAACATGAGATTCTTTTGTGTGCCGTAAAGCTACAACACGGGACCCACGGCTTAAAGTCCCTCCCGGAGGACTTGTTCCCTGAATTTTTCCACCCTTAAAAATTCCACGACCTCCGCCGGGTTTGAACCCGCGTACCTTGAGTCACGAGGTGGGAACGTTACCCCTAGACTACGGAGGCCGCTATATTACAAGGTGGTTCAAATATGACTGGGACTATTTTTTTTTTAAATACCATAATTTCCAAACACTTACTTGCACATGTGAGTCTTCAACGTACTCCACTCCGGAGTCAACACATTTTTTTCAACGTTCTGGAAGCATCCTGATGCCCTTTTCAAAAAAGGCTTGTGGCTGGCGGCGTATTCACTCCCGAACAGTCTGGATGATGGCGTCATTGTCCACAAACCGCATGCCTTGCAAGTCTGATTTGAGCCTTCCAAACAGGTAGAAATCACTTGGGGCCAAATCAGGACTGTACGGCGGAGGTGTCAGAAGGTTCCATTTCAATTTCCGGAGGGTTTCCATTGTTGTTTTGGCCCTATGGTGGTGTGCACTGTCTTGAAGGAAGGCTACCAGCTTTCCACCTGTCTTCCGCTTGGATCAGATCTTTTCCTTCACGTCTGTTGCCAGGAGGTCTGAGTAATAAGCTGCATTGACTGTTCTGGCATCTGTCAGGAAGTCTATATGGATAACCCCCTGCCAATCCCAGAAGAACGTTGCCATCACTTTTCCTGCCGAACGGCTCCTCCACGCTCTCTTGGGTTTGGGAGAACTGGTATGCCGCCACTTGCGCGATGACTGCTGTGACTCGGGAATGAAGTAGTGCACCTATGTTTCATCGGTGGTCACTATAGCCTTCAAAAATGCATCACCTTCATCTTCAAACTGCTGCAGGAGATGACTGGCAGCTTGCATGCACACCATTTTGTTCACGTCCGTCAAAGTGCATGGTACCCACCATGCATTCACCTTGCAATAGTGCAGGTTTTATTTCACGGTGAGTTCTACACTACCAACACTGATGGACAGCATTGCTCCAAGATCCTTGATAGTGATGTGCCTATTCTCGTGAATAAGCGCATCTGCACGATCAATGTTTGGCTCGGTGATGGATGTTCGCGGCCGACAATCATGCAGTTCATTCTCCACACACTCTCTGCCCTCTCTGAAGCACTTACACCACTCAAACACATGGGTCCGTGAGAGACACTCTTTCCCATACTGCTGTTGGAGTCTGTGGTGAATTTCGGTGGACAGGACATTTTCTCCAATGTGGAATTTGATCACAATGCATTGTTCCACACTCCGCAGTACCTTCTGTTTGCTCAACACTCTAGCAACTCCCAGACAGGACTGAACAGGAGGGAGGGTGGAGGCCGTGGCTTCACTTTCTCAAGGACGCACAGCTGCTGCACAGTGCTGCTTGTTTACACACAAATCAGTTCTGGTCATATTTGAACCACCTTGTACATCCTAAATTACTATGCAATTTACATGGATCCGTAAGTATTAAGATAAAGTAGTTACTGCAGCTATAATGTATAAAACTCAAGTACGAACATTTACATATCTCACCATCACAGGCACCTACACAAGGCAGCTGTATACAGTAATTTAAAATGGTTGCTATCTTTATTAACCATAAGGTATGGTGTCTCAAACTGTGGGCTGGTGGGAGTCACTGATTTCTCATGAAATACTGAAAATATAAGTGTATCCATGCACAGTTTTAACAGTAAGATTTAACATATGTGATTTTGGAAAATACAGCTGTAGCTGGTGAAATATTTTGTGAATTTTCTCATGACTGTATGGAAACCAGGACAGCACAGTCAGTGTAGTAACTGGTTACTGACTGGACAACAGAGGGGTCTGAGTTCGAGACCCGGTAGGGTCAAGAATTTTCACTTTTTGATCACATCCAGACCGGCTCTAGGGTCAACCCAACCTCCTATTCAGTGGGTACTGGTGGCTCTTTCCTTGGGATGAAACAGCCGGGGCATGAAGCTGAGCACTCACTTCCAACTTAGTGCTGAGGTCAAGAAAACGTGGGTCTACACATCCACTCCCCTATACGCCTTCATGGCACAGGGCTTAATTAGTTAAGCTCAGGGACAACTTTACCTTTTACCTGTAAGGGAACAGTTTACAGGGGTTGTAAAGCTATTTGGATTCCTGCTGTATCACAAAATTTGAGAGCCCACCCCGTACGAGGGGGACCCAAAAATAACCGGAAACGACCTGTTGCGCACGCTTGCTTTGTAGTTACGAGTTGTACTGCTAGGTGGTGTTAGCTGGGGGTCTCCCGCGAGTGTTAGTGAGCTGGCGTCAGTCTGAGTTAAGTGGTTTGTCTGTGGTGCTCTGTTGTGTGCGTTCCTGTTTCATCCCTTTGGCGATTAGTGAGATGGCCGACCAGAAGGAACAAAGAGTGTGCGTGAAATTGATGAAGATCGTCGAAAGACCATTGACCAACTTTCTGAGGAAACGAACATTCATGGAGCACGGTCCAGCGAATTTTAACCGAAGGTTTGCACATGAGACGGGTGTCTGCAAAATTTGTTCCTCGCTTGCTCAGAGATGACCAAAGAGAAAACCGCGTGAATGTTTGCCGCGACTTGAAGAGTGAAGTGCAGTTTTCCCTAACAGAAAGCAAAATTTCATGCACACTCTTTGTTCCTTCTGGTCGGCCATCTCACTAATCGCCAAAGGGTTGAAACAGGAACGCACACAACAGAGCACCACAGACAAACCACTTAACTCAGACTGACGCCAGCTCACTAACAGTCGCGGGAGACCCCCAGCTAACACCACCTAGCAGCACAACTCGTAACTACAAAGCATGCACGCGCAACAGGTCGTTTCCGGTTATTTTTGGGTCCCCCTTCGTATGGTTTAACAGATAGGCTAAGTAACTTGCCTGATCCTTGTACCCCATTAACTTAACACAATTTAATTATGGAAAATCTGTATCTCTACAAATGTAGATGGTTATATAGAGAGGTTGAACAAAATAATGGAAACACCACAGATACTGCACACATTTCTTTATTAATATGGTCTTGGACCACCTTCTGCCTTTAATACAGCCGCAATCCCTCTTCAAATGGATTCATACATGTTCTGAATAGTCTTCAGTGGAATTTTATACCATTCTTCTTTAAGAATATCTTCAACTTGCCTCAGAGATGTTGGAGGTGGGATCTGTTCCATACTCTAGTCTCCAAAACTGACCAGAGTGGTTCAATGAGGTTCAAACCTGGCAATTGTGCTGGCAAGGGAAGATGTTGAAATTCACCTTCATGCTCTTCAAACCAATACTGAACAGTTCCAACTGTGTGAATGGAGATATTGATGTCTTGGAAAACTGCATCGTTGTTTGGAAATACCATCTGGATCATGGGATGAACCTGATTATGCAACCTGTCCATGTGTTCCCGTGCAGTAATTCAACCAAGAAGGGTAACAATGGGACCAACAGAATCTTGTACCATGATATTGCTGCCCAAATCATCGCAGAACCTTCCCCATGTTTTACTGTTAATGTTGGAACCAGGCATTCCGGACTGTAGGCTTCCTTCGGTGTTTTCCAAACATAAACTCTTCCTGATGCAGGGAACAGCGTGAAGGATGACTCATCTACCATATCATCACGACCGTTTCCAGTTGTCCGATGTCAAAGTTTTATGGTTGACACCACTGTTTATGCATTTGGGCATTACCTTCAGTAAATGCAGCCCCACTGTGGATACTGGATTTGTGAAGCTCATGTCAAACAATTCTTGTAGAAAAAGGTTCTTCAGTTCTGCTGTCCTGTGGTATTTATGTGATTTTTTGAAAGAATCCTTCTCAATGTAACATGATCTCTGTCTGTCAGTGGTGCTTTTCGCTCAGCATTACTCTCTGCTGATGTTGTCTTCCCATGATTTGTGTAGATGATATTATCTTAGAAACTGTTGCTTTCTATATACCTAATAATGTGGTAGTTTTCGTCACAGATGCTCCAGCTAAACATGCACCAAAGATCTGTCTTCTTTCAAAATTGGACAAGTCTCCCATTTACTGATTCTTTCACAAGGGCTGTCAATCAACACAGTCACTAATGCAGTGATACGAACACTACAGGGTGTAAACAAACGGACAAAAAATGTTCAGTGTTGCCAACCGAAATTCTTTCAATTCAGCCAACACAATTTCCTCAATTTCTCAGTGTTTCCATTATTTTGTCCACCCACTGTACGTATTTTTGATTTTTTCTAAGAAGTTATTACTTTCAATTTCAAGATATGATGAAGGTCTCTGACACAGTTTCAAACCCCAAAACATGGAGATTAGCGGTGGTGCTGTAATTGCTTGCAGTTCCGAGTCCTGTGTATAGGTGGTCAATAAATCTACTCATCAATCCATATCCTGTCTATAGTCATACACCCCTAAATTCTGACAATTTGGTGTCAGAAGCGGTAGGATTGGAATCTGCATTGGATCTTCATCGTTATACTGCCATACTACAAAAATGGAACAAATGAAGGAACAGATGATGGAGCACCTGCTGGCCAGGATACATGCCATAAAGAAAAGATGGATGTCAATCTCAAGGAAATAAAAGCAGGTATAAAACCAACCAAGCAAAAATGAAAGCCAACCAGGTAAAAATGGATGCAAATCTGAGGGAAATGAAAGCCGGCCAAGAACTCCTGAAAGAAGAAATGCTGGCCAAATTTGATGCTCCTCATGAAAGGATGATGACCAGGATGGACTGCCAGCTAGAGAAAATGGAGGCCTGTTTAGGAAGGACGGAGGCCATGGATTTTGGAGGCAAACCCAGAGTCCGTGGTGGACCACGAGGAGGTCCCTAAGGAAGAGGCCACACTGATACCTGTCAGAGTACTGAAGAAGCAGCATGGGAACCAGCATCTAGCCATGAGCTGCTGTGGTCAGCTGAAAAAATGGACCTGGACCGACAGGCACCCTATCAGGGAGCCATTCGGGATGGGCAGACTTAAGGAGGGAGCAACAGAAGCAGTTGGAGAGGAAACACCGAGAAATCCTGCACCACAGGGAGGAAGACAAGACCAAGCAAAAATGTTGCAAGCACAGCCCTCGGAAAAGAAGAAATGGCGGTATGCCTGTAGGCTATTTTGGACGAACGGCCTTAAGGAAGGGGCAATGTGGCGTATAGACCCATTCCTAAGTGGGGACTCTGTAAACAACGATCGTTTCTGGACAAAGGCTCAGTAATCAAGTTCCTGCAGAAATGAATATGCGTGCAACAATAGAGTTACTGTTGCAAACGGCGTTTTCTATATGGTCTGCACCATGGCTGTTGCTATACAATGGCATGGTAAACACTCCTCTACAACAATAGAAGGGCTGTGTTTTCTGCATGGTACATGCTCAGGAGTTATACTGAAGACAACTGGATAACCCAGTCAGTTCAGCTGAGTTCTGCAAGGGAGGCTGTGAAGACAGAACATGAGCACATGAAGCTGATGAATCTCCACTGTTACATGTTGTTACTAGGGAATGGCTGGTGATGACACAGCAGGCTGGAAAAGGCTTAATGTTGCTGTGGTGATTTGTGAATTGTGGAGATAAGTGACAGCGCTGTAATTACTTATACGTCCGAGTTGTGCATACAAGTGGTCAATAAATCCATTCACCATTCCAAACTCCATCTACAGTCACATATAAATCATGACAATATTATAAATTGTCTTTCCACAAGTACACTCTAATTTATGTTTACATACAAATTCATAGGTTACTTATTAATTTTTGGAACTTCCATTACACATCATCCAATTATGAGACCTCAGAGAACAAGAAAATATTCTTTTACCTTTTTATATAGCTCAAATGCTGTAAACTGTGTGGCAGCGTAAGGAAATATCCGCACCATCTGTGCTCCATTGCCTTTATACAGAGCGAAGAATGCCTCCTTTCGAACAATATGCCGCAGACCAGAGAACACACCTAATGGACACAGATTGTACAAATATTTTAATGTAACAATTAATACAATAAATAGCATGGCAGCTCCATTTGCCACACATGGTATCACCTATGGCCCAAATTTCAACAAATATGCTCAGTACCAAGTTGCATCAAAATCTATTTATATACAGATTGTTTAACATGTATGGCTGCATGGACTTTTACCTATAAAATACACATGGTGTGTTCAAAAAGTATCGAACCTTCTTTTTCCCCGCGTAAACCAATGAAGCGCGGGAGGCTCCCCCACATGGAGATGTGGAGGGGTCATTCATGCGCAGTCGTGAATTTTTTCCCACCCGCAGAAAGCATCAGTCACTGGCAGTTGGCCTATGAGTGAGGACGTGTAGTAAACGCTCGTCGGATTCCAGTAAGGTGTAAAATGATAGAACGACATGAGCAGTGATACTGCATCAAATTTTGCCAAAAGCTTGGCGATACCCAAGTGGAAACCATTCGCAAGATTCAACAGGCTTTCGGGGACGATGCCATGAGCAACTCATGGATAAAGGAGTGGACAACTGCTTCAAAGATGGCCGCAACATCAGTGGACAGCGAACCGCGTTCAGGCAGACCCTCAACAAGCCGAACTGAGAATGTCATTGGTCATGGAGGACCGTTGTATCACAGTGAACTGTATACTGTATAACAGTATAACTTGCGAATGAGATAGGGGTAGGCATTGGATCGGTACATTCAATTTTGACCGAGGATTTGGGCATGAGGAGAGTGTCCGCGAAATTCGTACCGAAACTGCTAACAATGGAGCAGAAGCAACGCTGTCTGGAAATCGCACAGGACATGCTGGACAATGCAAACAGTAACCCCAACTTTCTGAACACCGTGATCACAGGCGATAAGTTGTGGGGTTATGGGTACGACCCGGAAACCAAGATGCAGTCGTCACAGTGGAAACATCCGACATCCCTGAGGCCAAAAAAAGCACGGCAGGTCCGCAGCAATGTCAAGGTCATGTTGGCCGTTTTCTTCAACTCCTGTGGGGTTGTGCATCGTGAGTACGCACCACAAGGCCAAACCATCACAAAGGAATACTACCAGGAGGTCCTTCGTCGCCTTCGTGATGCTGTGCAGTGCAAGAGACCGGATCTGTGGGCAGCAAAAACTTGGCAGCTCCATCATAATACACCCGCCCATTCTGTGCATCTGATTCAGACTTTCGTCGCCAAACACAATATCCCTGTGGTTCGTCAGGCTCCCTACTCCCCTGACATATCTCCGTGTGACTTTTGGCTATTTCTCAAGCTGAAAATGCCGCTGAAAGGAACCCAATTTGAGTCAAGAGAAGACATCATGCGGAATGCAACAGCCCGGCTGATCACCATTCCAAAAGATGCGTTCCAGAAGTGTTTGCAACAATGGCGGAAGGGCTGGGAGAAGTGTGTGCATTACCAAGGAGACTACTTTGAAGGGGATTAGGGTTTTGTACCCCCAAATCAATAAATGTATTTCTGCCGACCAAAGGTTCGATACTTTTTGAACACACCACGTATGTATAAATTAACATCAGTTGGCACAGTGACTGGCTATGTGCTGGATGACTGAGAGGTCGGAGTTCGAGTCCTGGTAGGATCAAGAATTTTCTCTTCTCCACATCGTCCAGACTGACTCTGGGGCCCACCCAGCTTCCTATCTGGAGGGCACCAGGGGCTCTTTCCTGGGGCGTAAAGTGGTAGGGGCATAAAGCTGACCACTCACCTCCAGCTTGTGCATAAATCAAGAAAACGTGGAACAATACATCCACTCCCCCATACATCTTCATGGCATGTATGTATGTAAGGGGTGAGCCATAAAAACCGGGCCCCGCACTGTGACCTTCAATGATCTATTGTGATTAAATCTTCAAGGCAGTGCTTAATTAGTTAAGCACAGGGACAACTTCATCTTTTACAAAATGAAGCATAAGACATAGGGTGCAATTTAAATACTTATGAAATGATTATGCTGTGGTGTACTGAAATTCTCTTGATACCTCAACACTAACCCAAAATTGTTTAGGTCACAGGAATCTTCATGCAATAAAAGCTTGTATACATGTACATTATTAGCTACATACAAGAATTTTATCTGGTTATATCCAGGGTTAACATTGAAAACGCTGTGGCAGGCAGTTGAAAATCTGTAAAATTAGAAAAATTATTACATGTGTAACATAAATAGCTAGGCAATGGCTCGGTGAACACATTTCCTAGGTAACACAATCAACTACAGAACTTTGTTTACTAGAGTTTTGATATGCGCATTGTAAATTTAACTGATTAAGAGCTGATATCCACGACAATGAACTAATCAAAACACAGTAATGGCTAGGAAAGCAAGAACTCTACTGTTGAAGGAGGTGATCTCCTTACGCTTCCACCAGAATCTACATCAGGGAGGGAACTGGCCAACAGATTATTTGAGTACAGATTACGACAGAAGACGGAAGACAAACAGAAGTCTTAAGATAAGTCTTCATCTTAAATGGTGTAGTAACAGTAACCTTTAAGAGTGTCATCACTGTTTGTAGTTGTGAAGTGTAACAGTAACAGTAAGACTGTGTTACAACTAACTGTAGTTCCACCTGGTGAATATCAAATAAATTGATTAAACTAATCTGGAATCCATGAAATACCTGTCATGTTACCAGGATAGGTGACTAAAAAGAGAAATACCCATATCTGTTATAAACAAATGGTCATAACTCCTAGACCATAAGTAATGGAAAAAAAAATGGACTGCATTTTCAGATGCTCACATTTATTAACATATTTCACTGGCAATATGTTGGATCAAACTCTTATGGTTTAGGCATTGCAGGTGGTTGACAGTCTGTAAAATTATGGAAATTATTACATGTTTTGGGTAATTGTTTAAACAACGTACAATTTTATTTTTGGAATAAAATATGCTTCATTTTTGGATATGTAGGTATCATTTATCATGTAGGTCTTTATTCTTTCAGTCACATATAAATTTCATTTTAATATAAGATATACCATTGGTCTTGAGTTATGACCGGTTATGTAAGAGGTTGCACAAGTGTTATGCTGTTACTTATGGCTTCATTGTTACACTTTCCGTTATTTACGGCTGAATTCCAGCGGACATCTTATCAGTGTGCGCTTGTCTACAGTATTGCATTATCCGATAAACAGTGGAATTGAATTAGCTGTATAGCTCACATTTATTAATGTGTTTCACTTGCAGTATGTCCAGATTCTTCTACGTTCTTTGCTGTGCACATTTACATAGTAACGAGGTCAACAGCAGAACTTCATTTACTTAGCAGTGAAGGTACCAACAATTAAAACTGTTACATATCCTGTTACAGAAAATAGTTACATTTTCTGTTACTAACAGTTTCATTCATTTGTACCTTCGTATAATAACGTTTTCAACATGAAAAATTAATAAATTCATTACTGAAGAAGATTAAATAAAATATGGCAAACTGGGATTATTTACTGTGGAGATGGTGGGGTGGGGGGCTTAAGCTCTTAAAATGCAAGTAGTTTCTGAAGCTTCACATGCAATCCAAATTTTTATTTTTCCTAAGACTTCTAAATTTTATACGGTTAAATACATTTGAAATTATTTTCCATTCCTTGTTTTTAGCACACTGAAAATGTATGCCTTACACAACCACTACTAGCTATTTTTTGCAATACATATTTTTGCATCACCATCATAAAACAGAAAAATCAGAACTGTTTGCAGTATTCCGGGGAACAGTAGACTGACTGTGAGAAGCTATTACAACAAAGGATGGTGATACATTTCACAATCAGGTCAATGTTGACCTAAACAAATTTGTAAATATATTAATATCATAAAAAATTCTGGCACATTCACTCTATTATTAACTAGAGTTTCAACTCATGAATGCCAACTTTCTCCTATAAACAACATAAAAATAATTTCACACAAAAGTACTAATGAGAGTACTTTAAATGTGTCTATTTTCTACACAGAAAACATACCAGGGCTGAAATCATATGAACTATAATTAAAACAAGTTCTTTTGTTTTTTCTTAATTGTGTGACATCTTGCTGAAAAACAAGCAATTTGCACAGTAAGAGTATGTTCTTCAGGGATGTAATGCCATGTAGTCTGGAAAAAAACCCCACGTTTTGGAGGAACATGCTAACTCACCTTCCAGGTCGAAGAGTAAGCCAAACAAGAAACTAGACAGAAAGAGGTGGCAAGCAGAGCAAATCATGTCAGACATACGCCCATCCAAGGAACCATGAGACAGCCAATGGGAGAGTGACCAATGCCTGTAAGGAGGGCTCAGAGAACCAACATGGTTCAGTAAAAAGAACATAGGTATCTCTAGTAGGATTCTTGTGATGGGGATCTCAAGACAATTTGACCTCCACAAACTGTGCTTTTCAAGACATAGACTCTGTACTTTCAGACCACCCATACTTCCAGTCTTCTGTGGTTGATTCTGTAACAGCTTATTTCTTCACCTTCCTGGGTGCCTTTTATTGCTTTTGCTCATGTTATCCCTAACCAGCCTCTTCTCTAAGCATACTGGATCCAGTAACAGCAAAACCAAGGTACCAGTTCCTTTATTCCTACTGGTTCTTTGGACCCCACTAACAGACAATTGTTATTCCCCCACAGTTCCTTTTGGACTATGAATGGCTTATATCTGGTCTGCTTTTCAACATGCAGCTCACTCTGCTTGCTTGGGCTCACTCTGTGACTGTGAAGATAGAGGCAAGATGTTCCTCCAAAACATCAGGCTTTCGCTGAACTGCACACTGTTACGGCCTGGAACTTATGCTTCACAGTGACTGCTCTAAGAGCCACAAATACAGTATTTGTGAAATACGAGTACAGAATGATCCCATTGCAAGTAACTTCCATATTTCTAAAGTGATATATACCCTAGTATGTTATATTTTACTCATACATAGTATGTTCAGTGCCAGTATTTCAGACTACATAGCATCAAAAGGTACATAATTAA